TTCTTTCTTGCACAAAGAAAAGCATCTTAATCAGTATATACATGGCACAAAAGACTTGTATAGGGAACCGTGCACTTGTAGTCTTTTAAATCCTGCATACTTAACATACATAAACTTCACTGCTTAAAAGACAATATCCATTTAAATTCACAGTAAATTAGCAATCAGGACAATTTGATCTAACCAAATTAATGTTACGAACACTTTCACATACTAGATTTTATCCTTTCATTTACAGGAGACAGCCTGAGTATCCCAACTTTTCCTGAACCCCACAAAATTCACCTTATACATGTGTTGATCTTTACTTTGTAATTTTCAGTTTCTGAAGTAGCTTAATTCCACTACCATCAGTATTTCTCTAACAGAAAACAAAACAAAACAAAAACCTAAACCCATACCAAAACCCACACATACTTTTGCTTGGCACAGAAAACCAAACAAAGCTAACAAAAGTACTCCCTAAGCTCAGGCCTCAAATGTTAAAACCACTGGCCCAGCACTAAGAAAACGGTACATGTTGTATTTTGTGATTGTGAATTTGGGGAGGAGGTACGGAATCCACATATTAAAAAGACTAACGTGAAGCTGTTTCTTTCTGGAGGTGTTCACCTCTTAGAAACAAAAGTTGTGCTTGTAGATCTCAGGTCTGTGTAACGTATGTGAAGGAAAGAGCTCACCAACTACCACTTCCAGCATTTCAGCAGCTTTGCTGAACACAATATTAAGTGTTATAAATAAATAACAAAGAATTACTAACAAAATAGAAGGGGGGCCCAGAAACAAAAATTAGAGCTGCATACAGTACAGCGCAGGTAAAGGAAAAGCTGTGGACAGGCAATGCTGGGGCATTTGTGATATTTGCTCTTTTAAGAATTTTATCAGCTGTGGTACTTCAGAAGTAAACATAAATCTCTCCAGTAACGGGAAATGCAACCACTAAATTTCTTGAATTACATGTTAAAACAGAACAAAGCCCCTGTCCAACGAAGAAACACAGAGCTGAATGGAAACACTCGTGCTCTTTAAGATAAGAACACAGTTTAAGCACTTGCAGAGTCAGGCTGGAGTTTTACTACTTGTAGATAAGATGAGGTTTCAGGTAATGAAAGCTCAAAACAACCAGTTTCCATACAATTTTCATTTCAGAGTAAAAATTAAATTTGAAGTCTGGGGACTTGGATGCATGGTCACACAGACTTGATGAAAAAAAAGCACTTAGTTGTGGGGTGTTTTTAAAAGCTGTCAGCACAAAATCACAGAAAATACACCCACCATTCAGAGATAGTACTACATTCCTGCAGTCATTTATCCTATATAGCATAGCACTTTTCCCTTCCAGATGGGATTAATTTTATTTCTATAGGAGACCTGAAATTGAATTCACTGCCTAAAGATAAAAATCTCCCTTGGTAGGAATATATTATCCTCTTCTACTCATGTTTCCCCCTCCCCCCCCCCAAAAAAAGTGAACACAATCACTGATAGTTAAAAATGCTTTTGGCACCGCTTCAGTCATTAGCAAGTAATAAGCTGTGAACTACAGCAATTCTGTGAGGCTGCAAAAAATATGTTGTCTTTCTGTGAGTCTCTGAGAACATACGTGGCACTGGACAAAGATGAGTTATAGAGCTGCACAAAGGGGTTAATTTATTCCTCCTGCATTTTGTCAGCCTCCTTTGACAAGAACTATGTGTGACCTTTGAGCCAAACCAATACATTAAATCCAATAAAATTTTTCAATGCAATGAAGATCCTAGTATATTTAGCATTACTTTTCAGCCTTTCCTGAATGTTCACAATACTGGAAGAGAATCGTAATTTAATATTAAAAATACCAAAGATGTAGACTAAGATAAAGAGAGGATGCCCAGGACTACAGCAAAGCAGAATTGCAGTGGCACTGTCAGTAATTACATAAATGATGAAATGAGGACAGAACAAGATACAAAACTGACCCTAAAGAAAGAACCAGAATAATTTCACATCTAGCAGCTTAAGCTATATAATCTATGGAAGAAGGAAACAGAGCATCAGAGCAATTCTCACTTCCATATTACCATCTGCTGTGATTCACCAATAAAGCAGCAATCAGAAAAAGAGCAAGATGTTTACAGCCCTGTACAGTCCTGCTTATCATGAAAACAACCAATTTAAGAGTCAAGAACACGCATGTTGAAAAGATTTCTCTGTGACACCAAAAGAACAGCTTAAAAGCTTTTGGTCTAATGTAAATTACTATGTGAAGAATAAGAAAAAAAAAGACATATAATTTCTTTTCTCTGGCATTAACATTAGTCATAGTCCTTTAATTTGTATTTCTTGAAAACAGAAGAATGGAAACACAAATACAAAAAAAAATGGATATACATATAGCAAAACATTAACAATTTTTTTTGTACTACATAAAATGTTAATATTTATTTTTAAAGTTTTTATAAAATATAAGGAAAGTAGAAATACTAAGAACTATGCAACCCAAATTACCATAGTATAAAAACACTTGAAGAGGCTGAATCACAAAAAATCAGCCACAATCAAGTCAGACAATAAAAGCATAGGTGACAAAGGCAAAGCCAGGACTATTTGGTATTAAGTACATCAGTATTAAGACTGATGCAAACATTCAAACCCCTGATAGAAAATGCTAAAAGAGAAAGCTAGGTGTTTATTAGACACAATACTCCATAGGTTGAAACGTACTTCTTTCCCTGCAAACAGTTCTCTTTTGACTGCAAACCTTCAGCAGCTGCTAAATATGATACAGACACAAATTAGTAAGATCTTGTACAGCATTTTTCTAGCAGTTGACCCTTCAAATCTTTCAGCCCTAGAAGAAAGCCTGCTGCATCTTGCTCCAATAGCTACATTTATGAGACCTCTCGAGACTCTGAAGATATGCTAAGGAGATGAGGATATTCTCTTGCAGGTAAAATACTGAAAAGGTGAATGGCATAGTGACACTGAGAAGATGACAACCAGCTAAATGTCCTCAAAGATATAACTCTGAGCACTCCCCAGTCACATGCTGGTTCTGCACAGTTTCTGGCAGTAACTTGTTTCCTTGGCAAGCTGACCCAAGCTACTGCCATATAACAACATTAACCCAGCCAACTAACAAAACCCACTTTGCACTGGTTAGCAATATGAACTGACCTGTGGCGGGTTAGGAGAGACAGTCGGCACATGAGCGGTGTTGTGACTGCCCTTTTAAGCCAGAGCAGAGTAAGATTTTCCCAAGTACTTCCTGAAACACCAGTCCTGGAAATGGAAAGAAAATCACAGAACTACAGAATGGCTGCAGTTGGAAGGGACCTCCAGAGGCCACCTTGTCCAACCCTCTGCTAAAGTAGAGCCTACTTAGGGCTGATGGTCCAGGATCATGTCCAGATGGCTTTTGACTATCTGCAAGGATGGAAAGCCCACAACCTCTCTGGGCAACCTGTACCAGTGCTTAGTCACTCTGACAGTGACAAAAGTGTTCCCTGATGTTCAGGGGGAACCTCTTGTGTTTCAATTTGCCTCAGGTCCTGTTACTGGGCATGACTGAAAAGTGATTGTCTTCATCCTCTTTGCACCCTCCTTTCAGGTATTTACATTCATTAATAAGAGCCCTCTGAGCCTTCTCTTCTCTAGGCTAAGCAGTCCCAGCTCTCTCAGCCTTTCCTCATATGTGAGGTGCTCCAGTCCCTTAATCACTGCTGTGACCCTTCTTTGGCCTCACTCCAGTAAGTCCATGTGCCCTCTTGTACCCAGCACTCCAGGTATGGCCCCACCAGTGCTGAGCAGAGGGAAAGTAGCAGCTCCCTCTACCTACTGACAACACTATGTCAAATGCAGACCAGGATATCATAGTCACCTTTGCCCCAAGACCAACTGGAAGGAACCTCTCCACACAAGGGACAGACAGGGAGAGCACATGGAAAAAGGCAACATGTGTGGCAAGTGCCACATCCAGATGCCAGTTCTGTCTTACATCAGTTGCTCTAACCCTGGGGATTGCGCATAAGCTCTTTAATGGTGAAACAAAATGAAATTAACAGAACAGAACAGCTCAGTTGGAAGGGACCTACAATGATCATCTGGTCCAACTGCCTGACCAAATCAGGGAGGATCAAAAGCTAATGCATGTTATTAAGGGCATTGTCCAAATGCCTCTTAAGCAGTGACAGCCTCAGGGCATTGACCACCTCTCCAGGAAGCATGTTCCAGTGTTCCCTCCTAGTAAAGAAATGCTTCCTAATGTCCTGTCTAAACCTCTCCTGGTGCAGCTTTGAATCATTCCCTTATATCCATAGCTCTGAGTAACCTGGTCTAGTGGAAGATGTCCCTGCCCACAGGAGGGCAATTGGAACTACATGATCTTTAAGGTCCCTTCCAATCCAAATCATTCTGCGATCCAGAGACAGCTACTGACAGCTACTGAGATAGCTACTGGACATCAGGGAGATGAGATCAGCATCCCCCTCTCCACATCCCCTCCGGAGGAAGCTAAAGATAGCAATGAGAGCAATCAGCCTTCTTTTCTCCAAACTAGAGAAACCCTAACTCTTTAGTTGTTCTTACAGGACATTCCTTTCCCCAGCTTTGACTCCCTCCTCTGGATGCAACTGCAGTGCCCATAACTACACAACACTCCAACTGAGGCCACACCAACGATGAATACAGCGGGATAATCACCTCTGCTTGTGCCTGATGCACCCGAGGATGCCTTTCGCCCTCTTGGCTGCGAGTCCACGGTGCTGACTTACACCAGAGGGGAGCCAGCATCTAAAGCGAGAGGGAAAACGGCGGGTAGGGTAAATATGGACTGTTTACAAGGATTAAGTGCCAGGATACGGGTAGAAGCGGAAGGCCGCGTTCCCCGGCTCCCCGGGGCTCGGCCCCCGCCGCCCTCCCCGCGGCAGCACCGGCAGCACCGGCAGCACCGACACCCGCCCGGCCACCCCCAGCCCGCCGCCGCCGCTCACCAACCTCCGCCTCCGCTTCCGGGTCGCCTCGGGGAAGGGAAGTCCCGCCCCGCCCGCCCCGTTCCCGGTGCCTCGGTCCCTCCCTCCGCGGAAGGCGGGAAGCGGCGCCGGCGATGGGCGACATCCACGAGGTGCCGCGGCCGCGCATCGCCACCGGGCAGCTGGCGCAGCACATCGGGCAGCCCGTCTGCTTCGTGGGCCGCGTCGAGAAGGTCCGCGACGCGCCCGGCGGGGTGTCGGGGCGGGGATGTGGCTGCCCCGTCGCCCTGGGCAGGGCTGGGGCTCTGTCCGGAGAGTCCGGCGCCTTCCTTGGGGCAGCCCGGCGGCTCCAGCCGGGCCGGGAGCAGGGCGGGGAGCCGAGGGATCCTCGGGGGAAGGTCCCGCTGCGCACTTCGGGATGAGGCGGCCAAACCTGTGGCGCTTCCAGCTGCCTTGAGAGCGCACGGGCCTAATGTCTTATGTAGACTTTAATGTTCTTTTGTAGATTCATCCTACTGGAAAGCTTCTCGTGCTTTCGGATGGCGTAGGGAAGCATACGACCGTGGAGCTGAGCGAACCTGTAAGTTAGGGAATGCTTTCGAAGTACTTAATGTCGCCTCTTGTGGATACCGGAGGGTTTGTCTCTTCTGAAACCTCTGCATGCCTTCCATGTGTTGAGTTTTTAGTCGGGAAAAAAAATATCTGTTTCCATTTTCCACCTGTATTTCATTGCCCCTGCTTCTTGCATCTTTCAGCTAGCTTGCAGTCTTACCCATGAACTGCCTTGGTCTTCATTAATTTTCAACTAGTGTTAAGAGACAGAACTCATTCCTTGTCAGACACATCCCTGCCTGGCTGTTTTCTCTTCCTCTATTAGTTTTTTACAGTGTAACATATATTCCACTACATGTGTTTGCTTTATTGTAATTTCACTTTTCCTCCCATTTTCATATTGTTTTTATAATCAAAAAGACCCAAGAATATGGTATTCCTAAGAATTTTTTGAGTTGACATTGCTACATCCTCTTAGAACACTTGTCATAGCATTCCAGTAGACTTTAGAGTTAGCTTGAAGCATTCTTTCTTAGAAAAAAAAACCCAAAAAAACACCACCAAGCAATTAATGCAATGGGTATAAGATATAATGAGAACTACTGAACAAAAATACTGCTTCCTTTGTTTTCACATATCACTGAAGGAATAACACCCTGACACACTCTTCTGTCTCTAAGTGTTTTTTTTTCTCTAGCAAATGTTGTAATTAAAGGATTATTTCCATTGTGATGGCAAATGCTCTAGCTTGTCTGAGAGCAAGTGTATATTTACATCTTTTTCTCTGAATGAGTTGTTAAATGCTGAGAAATCTTGCCATTTTCCTGTGAAATAATTGCATATGGTCCTCTTAGACTTTCAAGACAGGATTCTCTCCTTGTTGATGAAAAATGCGTTTTGATCTGGCACATTTTTATTTTATAAATGTGAAGGTTGCTGACTTTAACTTCCAGCTGTAAGAAAATAGCCTTTTTTTCCCCTGTTCAACCAAAGGCTTGCTAGTGTCTTTGTGTTCTGAACACTTACTGACAGATTACTTTAGAAATAATTTCCAAATATATCTCCTGAATCTGGAACACTGGAACTGCTCTCTGGCATGTGTGATACCTCCTTAGTTCTTACAGAGAATTGACTCAGGATTTAATGCAGTGCATTCAAATCTGGATTCTTCTGCTCTCTGTGTCCTAGATTACTCTCTGTTCAGTGTTTAATTGATACAGTTTTATATACTTATAAACTGTTATCTTCCTTCTGATGCCTCTTCATATGTTTTTTTTTTTGTTGGTACTGAATTGACTATTACAAAACCTGTAAATCTGTAAGTGGGTCAAGGCTTTTGTGGTTTTCTGGGGGGAGGGCAACAGGGCCATCCAGAAGTACTCTATTGTTTGACATTAAACAGAATCTGTCACAAACAAACCATCAGCTGTGGAGAGTTCCTAGCTTAAGTGCTGTGCTCTTAAGTAGACATAGCAGCTAATTTAGTGTTGCTAATTTCATCTTTGGTATGTTTTCTAGCTAGATGAGGAGATCTCAGGAATTATTGAAGTAGTGGGAAGAGTAACAAATCAGGCAACCATCATGTGTGTGTCATATGTCCAGTTCAGAGAAGATAAAAGTCCATTTGGTAAGTAAGAATATACATTATAACAAATTAATTTTGAGATCTGAACTCTTCTTCAGTAAATACGAAGGGAGAACCTGATTGCCTTTTCTTACAGACAAGGTCTCTCTTCAAGCTGCCAGATATGGAGCCAGGTGTAGAAAAGGAGTGTCATGAATCATAGAATCATAGAATAGATTGGGTTGGAAAAGACCTCCAAGATCATCACGTCCAACCTCTGATCCAACTCCAATTACTATATCATGGCACTAAGGGCCACATCCAATCTCTTTTTAAAAACCTCCAGGGATGGTGAATCCACCACCTCTCTGGGTAGGCCGTTCCAATGCCTGATAACCCTCTCTGTAAAGAATTTATTCCTAACATCTAACCTAAACCTCCCCTGGCAGAGCTTGAGCCCATGTCCCCTTGTCCTATTGTTGGTTGCCTGGGAGAAGAGACCAACCCCCACCCGGCTATAACCTCCCTTCAGGTAGTTGAAGAAAAGTTCTGTACCAAATGTAGTGGTTTATGGTTAAATTGTAGGGAGTTACTCAAAGCCAAAGCCAGTCTTGATCATTGCCATGCTCTGATTTTTCTCCCACTCCTGACAGTGCAGTTCTCACCTTGGCCTAAACTTACTGTGATTGTGCAGCCACCAGGCCTAATAATAACCCTCCAGAAAACAAGCAATAAGTGTTGCTGCCTTGGGGAAAATGGGAATTTGAGGGAGACTGGGATCACTCAGCTATACTGCTTTAAAATAAGCAGTGCTTTAATGTTGTCACTGACTTCTGGGGAATTTAGCTTATGCATCATAACCATTTTCTTTGCCCTCTTTCAGATCTGGAACTCTACAATGAAGCGCTAAAAATTATTCATGAATTCCCTGAATACTTCCCATTTGGTACTGGGAGGAACACTTGATTTTTCTTAGCATATATTTATTGCTTCAGGGGTGACAACAGTACCTGACAGCATGGTAACAGTTGCATTTATTTTCAACATATGTACCGAAAAGATGCTGTTACGTGTGCTAAGTATTGCCAATGTAGAATATTTTCTTTGCAAATGTATTTATTCAGCAAGGAGAATACTTCTGTGGATGTCTTGCTCACTGTATATATCTAACCCTTTTGCATCCATGAGGAGTGTTCTCTTACAGGATTAGATGTGGCAGAAACAGAAGTTTTGTAAGAATCCTTTTGTTATTAGGAGAGGTTCTAGGATATTTTACTGAAGTAATTTGGTGGGGTTTTACTATAAAGATTTTTAATTTCAGTTGCTTTGATACAAATTTATTGAACAGGGGGCAGTATTTTGGATCTTGAAAATGGTCTCAACCAATAAAAAAGGCCTCACACTTAACTATTTGTGTCAGTATTGCTTGTTAGAGTGCTGTTTTCAGTGATATATGGTGACTCCTGTTCTACTTTACCTGAAATTGTTAAATATAACAAAGTGGAATACAAGGTGCTTGCCTTTTGCACTGATGTTAAACACTTGGAATATGTCTAGTTAGTCTTGGAGGTTTCAAGCACAGTTGACTGCCCATCACAACCTTAATTCTTGGTGGCAATCTAAGCAGCAGTACCAGTATTCTGCCAGAGTGTCATGATGACTTTAACAATAGGAACTTCCACACAGTTCCCAATTTTGTTACTATCCAAGCTACTTACACAACTCATAGCAGAATTTTTAAGATCTCTTAAGGTGGCACAATCAAAGTAAAATCAAGCTTTGGATATACGTTCTGTGAATTACTAAAATATTTCAAAGTATTTTAAATAAACCTTAGCCATGTTCATTAAACTTTCATACAAACAGGTTTCAGGTTTAGTAGCTAGATTTAGTGCCTTAATAGGATTGCTAGCTTTGTATTTATTTTATTGTCTTTTTTCAGTCAAGGAATTTGTTTCAAAGACTTATTAATCAAAACTAATACAAATTGGGGAGATGATCAATTTAACAGGGGATCTATTTTTTAATCCCTCTCTACCTAGAGGACAGACAGTGACACAGTCACTGTCACTAGGAAGGAGGAGGCTTTCTGAAGTAGGAGTCAATCTCATAGCAAACAAGAACACAAGGTCTGTGTGGCACTATACCATGCTCTGTCCTGTAGTGCTATCACCACCACTATTTTAGTGCTCAGCAGAATGCAATGTCATTCTTAATAACTGTGTGCATGTTTTCCTAGCATTTAGAACTATTTTGTTCTATTCTGCTTTAGAAAATTGCTATTTTGTGCATGTACACAGTCTGTAAATAAAGCAGCCTACCACTAGATGGCTTTAGTATTTTAGAGGGATCATCCTTGGGTATGAGGTCTTGTGAGTAAATGTTTGAACGTGGCTCCATTGAGTGTGAAATGCCAGTTGCCCTTTGTCAGTCAAGACTCTTCTTGTTCATGCAGCCCCACAGCCGTGAAGGGTGGCTGGACAAGCAGGACATAAATGAAAAGCAGGGGAAACTTTTAGTTATCTGCTTCTCTACAGACTATCAGGCTGTGGGAATAAATGGCCTACCCTGGCTATGTGGCTGTACTAACCAGACAGCAATGCAAGGAATTGTAAAATATTCTTGGTATTAGAGTAATGCTCAGGTCATATATGCATTTACCAGCATAATTTTCCACTGCCAGCTATTCCAAATACCAAGGGAAAGGCATAACCATGGGGTCTGCTACCTGTCAGCTAGGACTGATGGTTAGCAGGGCCCAGGCATCACACACACAAGGAAGGTGAGAGAAACTGCCACACTCTTAGATAATAAAATGGGAAGTAGTGGCAGCAGGGGTCGCTGACCAAAGGGGAGTCACCAGGGCAACTGCATCATAAACACCAGAGAGGGATGTCACCAAAGCCAGGGCCAGCAGCAGGACCAGTAACAGAAGGTGTGAATAGCTGGTGGCTTCTTAGGGAGGACATGAGGCTGCTAAAAGGCAGGAATCTGGGAGAGGAGAGAGGGGTGTGAAATGAATGATGTAATCAGAGCTGACTGAGAAGATCATGTCATTTGGGACAGGACTGCTCCCACCACGTTCCTAAGTGACTTCTGAGATCTGGCACCTTTTTTCAGGGCTCTTTGCTGTCCCTGCTCGGGACAAGGGCACAACTCGTGTGGTGCTCACGTGTAAACAGCCTGTGCATATGATGATAAAGTGTTTTTTACTCAGTGAAGGAAGGGAGGGCAGGCTGGCGCATCTAAGGAAATGGAAACGATGAAATGTAATCGGCCTGAACCACAGCGACAAAACACGTTAGCATGCAAGGCCACCTTCAGCAGATACCAGGGAACAGTAAATATAAAACTGCAGCTGATAAAATGAGCATAGCTATAGTTTTTGTTAGAAGACAACAAATCACCCCCAAAAGCACAGCTTTATTAATTTAAAAGCAAATCAAGGAAAAAAATCGGATCATTAAAAAATATACAGCTCTTGCTTTGTAAATTTTGCAAATCAGGCTTAAAAGCCTGATTACTATTTAACAGCCAAAACTGATAGCAATGCTGTGCCAGAATATGCAACCTCCATAATCCAAAACATTTCAAAGACATGATGAGTATCGAAGTGAGCATGTAATTTAATCTAATGCAATGACAGAATTTGATACAAACAGGTCTATACCTGTTGAGTCAGGTTGAAGATGTTATAGATGAATTTTCTTTCCATAAGAAAGCGAGACATGGTATGGTGGTAGACTCATTCGACCGGAATGGAAATTATCAGGAAAATTTACTAAATTTTCTGTTACTGCAGAAGAATAAAAACACACGTGACACTTAAAAATCCTCATTTCCATAAAACAAAAGCTTTATTGCCTATATTTATATAAATAGGGTACCATACAGTAAGCCCCAGTTTACATTTATAAATGGAGAACATTTTGAAGAGCTCTTCAACAGCAAAATGAAGTGTGCAAAAATACTGGGAAAAGAAATAAATATTCTAACAAGAAAAAAAAGGAACTGCTCTCCTATGCCTAAAAGTATCAAGTACCTCTTAGATTTTTAACTTAAAAAAGATTGTTTTCAATTAGGCAAGAATTTTGGATCAGAAAAAAATGCAGCAGATTTATTACAACATTAATGCTAAATCAGAAAACGTAGCCCAAAGTCCTGAATGTAATGTTGTATATCCACAAAAAACACTTCCACATTCTATCTTCTTGAAACTACATTGAGCATGTAAAACTAGTGGTATATTACAATATATTCTCTTAAAACATCAATTTTCACAGTCCTGGCAATATAGTACCAGTTTATTGCTAGCATTCCATTTAGTATTTTATAGCACACAAGTGTTAAGTAACTCATATACTATAAATAAACACACACCAAGTAAACTGATGTTATTATCATATACCTTAAAACAGGTTTGGGTTTTTTCCCTAATTTGTGTGAGTTTTGTTGCCTACAAAATCAAGGACAACAATACCAATTAGCTCCTAGCACAAAATACCATTGATGCTCTCTCAAGTTAATAAATAATTCCAGCTGGTTACTCATCTAGAACTAGTCTGATCAATTACTTAAAATTGTGCAGCCTTTTGGGAGCAGACTAGTGTCTGCTGGTGACAAGAAGCAGGATTTATATAGGTTGATTCCACACTTTCCAGTATATTTCAGAAGTACAATGAAATCCTGATTATCTCAGAGTCTTCAAATATTTTCGTAGTCAAAACTCAGCATGTAGTTTAAAATAAATATTTACAAGTCTCCAGTCCTTGAGATTTCAGGTCTCCACAGTACTAAATTAATCACTCAACTAAAAACCTCCTGTAGTTTATCTGCACTCTGCAGTGAAACAGACACATGACTTCTCACTCAGGGAACTCCTCTCTACAGACTTCGCTAGGAGAGCAAACCCCCAAATTCTTTAGCTTTATAATTCACATCAGCTAGGTATGTAGGCAAATTAAATAAGAGCTTGAATGCAAAGACATTGCTTTACTATGAATAAAACTTGGGGACAGGAAGAAATGGATTTTTCTTTAAAATAAAAACCTTTAGAATACAGTTAACAGTAGCATTTTAAATGAAGTTATGAGGAAACCATCATTTGCATACAAGAAAGCGTGATCAAACAATGAACAGAGGAATCCACAGCATCACTTTGTCATCTTCTGAAGGACACTTTCCAAGTGTTTATTTTGAGGGTCCACTTTCACAGCATATAAACACAGCTTTGGGGCCAATCAGCATTATCCTGAAAACTTTACTGAAAAAGGTCTTTGGATTTCAGTAAATCCAAAGAGTCCACAAATCCAGGAGTGCTTTTCTTCAGTCCTCTGAATAAGGACCACACACTACAGAGGCTCACTTCAGGAATACCTGTTTCTACCAAGCACACTCATACACACATAATTTTACTAATTTGATAGCATTTTATTTTTTTTTTTTCCAGTCAGTAAGTCACAAATTACCTTCGTCTAAAATATATGCTTGGACTATGATGGACATCCATTGGAGAGCCACATATTTTCAAACAATATTTATGCCTGGACAGTCTCTGCTGGAATGAGATTCCCTGTTGTATCCAGCTGCATACACTTACAAGAGCAGGCAGAAACTGGGCACTCAGTATGGTCCCTAAGTAGCAATAACAGAAAAAAGAAAAAACAGGTAAAATAATTTGGCAATCTTCACATTTAACTATGTGCAGGGGTGTAGTATCTCAGAAAAACTCAGCATCATAGTTCAGTTTTATTATTTAAACATTATAATGATAGATACAGCAAAGGAGGCATGTCCTACTCAGTGCAGCACACACATGTGAAATAACTAAGATTTTAACATCAACTTACCTGAACCAGCTCAGCATATGTCCAGCATGTCCACCATGCCTACAGTTGTGACACCAAGTAAACCAGTTGCTGAACTGGGCTAACTTCTTGTCTTTGCTAAGATCCACTTTTTCATCTGACTTGGATCCTCCTGTGGAGAAGCAAACCCACCCCCACAAATACAGCTGTAAATCATTACACTTCATTTATATTTCAGCCCCAGCAACACTATTAAAATAAATTTGAAATTAGGAACATTATGTGAAGAAGCAGCCTGATTTTAAAAGGGAAGTCAGTAAAATTATTAAGAACTGGTGGAATGCCAAAACAAGAATTATATTACTGAGCTGTTGTTTCACATCGTACGGACATGCTAAACTTGCCTATTAAGCAAATATTACAGACAAAATGTCTTTCAGTGGTGATTTATGTTTCAGTGGTCGATTTATGTTCCAGTGAATTATGGGCCTGTTCTGCTGCACATGAAATGTTCTGCTTTAGAAAAAAATCAACAAAATCTTAAGTTAGGAATTGGAACAAGTACGATATAGAAGTCCTAACACAGAGCAGTGAAAGAATGAGAAGAGATATAAACAGATAACAATTGCACAGCTGTTCGTGGCTCTCTAACAAGACTGACTTAAAAATATGGACAAAATCAGTTTCATTTAGATCTTGCATAATGCTGAGCCCAAGACATTTAGAACCAAAAAAATTCTAGTTGTAATATTTCTTAGCTGTGACAGCATGACCTATACTGTCTTTCATACTTAGTGACAGAAAGTACACGTCAAATTTATTCTCTCTTCCTCTTGCAGCTAAAAATTAATTCATTTACCTTGTAAGATTTATGTAGCATCCCTACAATTCATCTCAAGAAAACACATTCTCCATTTCTTTCAATTCTAAAGCTCACAATACTGACCTCCAGAATACTTGAATCTTTACATCAGTCTAACTATGGAATTTCACTGACGATCTCATTGGGAAAACTGTCAGAACCAAGTAACTGTGCATATTGTCTGACCCCAAAGAACTGAAACAAAGGTTTCATCACAAAATCAGATGGGATATAAACAAGTTCTTAATTATGGTCTTTCTCCCTTCAAAATGATGAATATGAATACTTACAGTATGAGCAAAACTAGAAAAAAAAAGTGCAACAGAAGATCTTCCAACAGGAACTGCTAATGAGGCCTCTAACTACTAGTGCAGCTGAGTAACTAAAACCCACTGTGTCATACCTGGACAGCTGGAAACTGGTGTTCCCATATTTATCAAGCAAAGTGCACAGCGAGGAAGGGGCTTACGGCAACCAGGACAGCTTGTAACTTTTGACTTAGTTGGAGAACCACTGACTCCATATTGGCTAAAACCTCGCCCCTGATGAGGAATAGCTGAACAGCTGTAAGAGATTGATTTTCCACAGAAATTGCAACTCACAAACACCTAAAGAGAACAAAAGCCCATTAATTTTTTTGTTTGGTTCCACTTTTGCTACACCTATGAGTGAACCCATTCAAACTAGTAAACATTCTAGCCAAGGAAAGCCAAGGCTACTTGTGAAGGAGTTCTTAACATCTTGGCTTATAGATGTGGCACACAGCTCTGAGGAGTATGCCTTAACAATGCTCTTATGTACTTCAAAAGCACATAAAAACATGTACAACTCCTAAAACTTCGAAAGGTATTATTTAAGATAATAAAAAGCTACATCTGCAGTAATGGAAGAAATTAAGTTTACTTACTATATAATTGTCTGGTCTCTCCCTCCTTATAGCAGTGTGACTCACTCTACCGTCCCCATCTTAAGGATTATCCTAATATTACTTATCTGCACCCCTCAGGCCACAAGTTGTGACTTGATACCAAGGAGCACATATTTTTAACTCTTTAGGGGCTATTTGTGTTAACCACATAAGGAAGAAACAATAAACTCAACTCCCTTCCACTTGGAGAAGCACAGATGCAGCTCTCCCCAAACAGCTGTGATGGATACATGAATTAAAAAAAACAGCCTTCCTGAGAAATCCTCGGGCCCTAGAACTTGTAATGAAGATCCTTAGAAGACATGAGAGAGTAAAAGGTGCTGTGAGTAAAACCATTTTGGCTAAAAATGCCACCAGATGTTAAGAAGATAGCATTTGGGCAGGACGTTAGTTTTTGAGTCAGCTTATGTTCAGAACTGATAATGAAAGTTGTTGCTGTTCACTTTTAGTTCCAGGTTCAAGGGCTTCAAAATAGCTTTGAGGTTTGTTTCAATTAAAACAGAGCAATTTGAGCTAGTTCCCTGGTTTCAGCATCATTTTCACTGACACTGAATTCAGCTTGATGATACATCTCTGATTTCGTTTTTCAACATGTAAGGAAAAAAAACGAAGAGTTTCCAGTTTCCCCAGAAAAAAAGGTGTTGATAAGTCATAGGTTCTGAAAGACCTGTTACTTAAAAGAAGTGACAGGTCCTTGTTTTAGGGCAGCCTAAGCTGAAATCCTTCTTTTGCACACAAACTGTCCTGAAAGCCAAGGGGAAGCCCACAACTTTTTTTTACGGAAGTGCCATGCCACGTTTCTTTCTGGACTGGTCATACTTCATACAAGAATTACATTTACCTGGGCTAAAGGCTTTGAACTGGGATCCAGCTTACTCCTGTGGATATCAAATTCTGCACGTTTATGCCAAAATCTCCAAGCATCTAAGAGATTCCTGTAGTTCTCAATCCAGTACTGAACTCTTTCATCCTTAAGTACATCTGATGGAGAACCCTAAAGCAGGCAAGAAAAAATGTCAGACACACAATACATATTATTCACTTTTTCAAAAGGCTTTACAAAATGCACAAGACACGCGAAACAATACAGTGTAATTTGTCTTGAAGAAGATGAATTTTCTGTGAGTTTGATAAAGGTTTTCTTCGGTCTGCCTCTCTGCTTGAAAATACTTGTGCTGCCACATCCTCCCAAGAACTCATGTCAGTGAGATGAAAGATTTGAAAGTTTTGTCATATATCACAATCCATATCACTGTTAAGATTACATATGCATTTAAATACTGTGCTGGCAATAGCTGCTACTGTGTAAGGGCCAAGATAAGTCCATCATTAAAAAAACCCAAACCCAATGCTTACAGACAAACAAAAAACCTCATCTTTGTTCTCCATCAAAATCCTGGAAGGAAAAAAATAACGAACCTGTCAGGAAACACACCAGCAATGAGGAGGGAAATGAGTATTCCCAGTTTAACTAGTGAAAAGGACAATGATTTCCTTTTGTCTCTTTACCATCTCAACCAGAAGGTGTAAAGACACGTGCTTGTCATTAACACTTAGTGTTTCAGATGACTCCACATAACAGGCACAATATATATTGTCCCAATTTAACACAGAAAATACTTTTTAGTTCACAAGATTCGGTACTACACCGATAAAGAAACTGTGGGTTTTTTCTCCTCTGTAAAGCTTTATTTTCGAGTGAAACACTAACCTGTAGCATGCAATAGCTTGCTGTCTGGACATCTCCAGTTCTGTCAACATAACTTTCCATCAAGTCAACCCCATCTTTTGTCAGCCCTGTTAACAGTATTCCCTCCAAATTCCCAGCCTCCTTCATTTCATTCGTCAGCTTTTCAATAAACCTGTTCAGCTATAAAAAAAATACTTAATTAAATATATAAATATATATGAAAAGACTGTCTTCTGCTAACAGAATATGCTGCTTGCTGGATGTTACACAGAACATGTTAAATTATTATACTGTACTGCATTGCATGAAATCAAATATTTATAACGAACTTTAAGCTTCCTGATAGGAAGTGCAAAGAGGGAAGTTATGTAATCTTTAAATACTTTGGTGAATTTAAAATAAAATGTTCCTGCTGTAAAACCAAACTTTAACTTGAGAGAACATAAGCATCTGGAAATAACTACTGAATAAGTACAAACACTCTCCAGTAAAACAGGTCAACAGGTAATGCAATAGCACTTAAACTACCATGTAATGAATACTAATAGAAAAAACCCAAAACAACAACAAAACCAAACAAAAAAAAATCCCCCGAACCAACCTAGCAAAAACCAAACCAAAAACCAAGCTGAAGGTACAAACTGAAAACCAGCTTATACCATACCTTATAACTACTGTGATGACAAAAGCCAAATCACACATGACTCTACTTCCAGTGTTCACCCCTCCACCCCAGAGTTTTTTCTCTGAATAAAGACGAGTTTAAAAGTTTGCTTAGAAGTGCAACCACAAACTCACCTGAGCATCATTGAGAAACTTGCAAGCAAATGCCACTCTGTCTCGTACAGCCACATTATTTTCATACTTCAGAGAGAAAAATGGGAACATTAACATCAAATGTAAGTTTCCACTTTTTCAATACATTGTAAAAATCAGAGCATTTCCACTACTGTGTAACTAATACAATGAAACCAATTGTGTAAAAAGAAAACATGGCATCTGAAGAAAGCTGACACTAAGTATATCACCGTAATCTTATACTCAGATAGAGGTATCAGAGGAAGACTGGGGCTACTGGAACAGTCTATACAAATGGCAGGAAGGCCTCCTACAACACATGCTTTATGAAACTCTACAAAAAGAAACTTTGCAAGTCATGTAGAGCTGGGCTTAGTGCTTCTAGCACAAATAGCCAAGAGTCTCACCAAGTCACAGGCAGAAGAAAACCAAACCATTTTCATATTTATAAAAACTCTTGCTAATTCCTCTCTTCCTCTTCACCCTACTCCTTTATCCAAAGCCCACAGCTATGTGCTTATATAGTCGATCAGGGACTAACATATCAATTTCCACGCCAACTGTGTAATTTACTAATAAAACTTTTTGACTGTGAACCCTCTGACTTTTATTGTTCCTTTCGACCAATGAGCATTTATGAATCTTAGGTGCCTTCCTTCCCTTAAGGGTGAGTAGTCACATTTATCATATTTGCAAAATAACTAGCCTAACCACTCAATTCCTTCCTAAAATTGCAAATAAAAGTTAACAAAGTAAACAAAACACCCCATGCAAACAAAAACTAACTCCAAACACCCAGAACATGAATTTCTCAGAAGTATATTGACACTCGAGGTGCAATATTTTCTGCTTTTTAAGCCTTTTACTAGATGAGATACTGAAGAAAAAAAGTACTGGTACTTAGCTATGCCCACACTTTTCCCTCTTGACATCCTCAGAATAGAAACTGTGACTGACATTGCCAAAACAAGATGTGCTTGACAAAAATCTCTTTCATGCAAACTTCAACAAGTTCGTTTGAAAATAAAAACAAACAAGTAACACCTTATGATCAGTGAATTTCCAATTCATCAATAAAAAACTAGAAAATTACTACCAGAGAACAAGAATACTCTCTTTTAAAGAGAGAAAAAAAGACTGAGGTTTCTCTCCTCTGGGATTCTAATCTTTTATTTATTTTATTACTGTAAAAGCATCATATTATGGCAACTTTGTTTTCAACAGCTTTGGGCCAATTACTCTGTTGCATTACAGGAGTCTTCCCTTGGGCTAAATAATTCCTACTGGTTCAAGTATTTCTGTTGTTCGCTAACCAAGAATCAAGTATGTTACTCCTCCAAAGATTCACAGTATCTCATGATTAAAGATTTAGTTTGCTCTTCACATGGCAATTCTGTATCAATTTCAACTGCTCTGCTTACCATTCCTACACAGTGAAATTATTTTAACAAGTAAATAAGGAAAAATAAAATACAATTCTGTGCAAATATAGCTCAATGAAAGTTCTGCAAACTCCCCTGCATTTATTCAGCTTTTTGCAATTCCATTATTAACCTCTTTCCCCTTTTAGCCCATTGTTTAAATTATTTTGAATATGTATTTCTAGTAATTTAATAACTCCATGCCAAAGATAAAAACCCTCTAAAAAATGTGTGAACTATAATGGATATTTTGGCCGGTAATGCATGATTTGTTCACTAACGCAACATTCGCTAATATGAGATGTCTGTTTAGAAGAAACAAATGCTATTTGCCAGTATCAGGATAAAAGAATATATTCTAATCTGATTAATTCATGGAGTATACAGCACTTCCCCTACATGTTTCTATAAGCTCCTATTACAGGGAGGAATTTTAGCCTAACAGAAATTTACTCACCAGAACACCGTCATATGAACCAGATTCACTTGTCAGGAAAGCAAACATTGCACACAAGTAGGGATTGTTCAGTTGCAGTCTCAGAGTGCTGCACATTTCTCTCCAAAGTGAGTTCTTCTCATCTGTGTAGCCTGACAGAGCCATTGCTACTACGTTAAGGTTCAGATCACCTGATTTATGAAAAGCAATCAGTAAAACACTATTATTCAAGTTAAGGACTTAAAAAAATCCAGTTAAAACTGTAATTGAAAACATCCATTTAAAATGCAATGTTTTGTCAGGATGCAAGACAAAATGCAGTAGAATTAACACTAGCTAAAATAAATGTGCATACTCTAGCATGTATGTACTTGTTTCTGCATTAAATGCCTCTGTTCAGGTAAGTTAACATCTCTAAAAGTCACAAGCCCACACGCACAACAGCGTCATTACATTTCAAACAACATCACACTGGTTCTGGTATTTTGAAATAGCTATCAAAAAAGATTGTCATTATCATAATTCATATCCAGAAGTAGTGAAAACCAGGATTGTATATCCAGCCATCTCTTAATAGATCTAGCTGGAGGATGACAATGTTATATAGCAGTTTCAAGTTAAGAAGTTTCCTAAACCATGAAACTATTTCATCTAAATATTCATTCTGTCAGAAAGTTCAATTTTATTCTTGAATTTGAAGATAGCATGTCTTTTTCATTCAATCTGAACCCCTCCATGAAAAGCAGAGACAGATACTCATACCCCCACTAAAAGGGGAAATATTAAAAATAAAGGAATCTTTAGAGCTTGTCTTGTCTTACCTACCCACTTTAGTGGCACGATAGTCTTTCTGATTTAATAGAGAACACAGATGCAAAGCAGTGCTGTAGGAGGAATACTGGCAAGAAAACAAAACAAAGCCACTTCCATCTCCTGGCTCCAGTATCTTAACTTTTCCATCACACACCACAACTCTTAACAGATATTACCCCAAAACAAATGTTTTCTGCAGATCCCAAACATTATGTTTTAATTATTCCACAGCCATTGCACTGGCAATACAGCCCAACAGAAGCAGATTTACGTGACATCCAGCCAAGAAGTAAATCCATTAAAGTAAAAGAATCCCACTAGTTCTGAATGTATGTCTCTCTGGGGTTTGTATCCGTAAGAAATTCTGAAACATCTGATCTGTTTTAATTAGACAGTATGACATATGGTAGTCTGAGGAGCGAAATACCAGGATTGTCAGATTCTCAAGCTCCAATACAACTGCTTTAAGTAACAACTTTATAAGACAACAGGCATCTCTTCCATACTATCTTCCATAATTCTGTTAATAGAAAAAAACTCTACTAATCTGACATAGTGCCAAAATAGAAGACACTAAACACAATACGCACCTTTTCCTGAGATAGCCCCTTTATGTAGAATTTGTATTGCTCGCCGTATGTCCAAGTTGAAAAGTGCTACAGCAGCAGCTCGTTCCCAGTCTCCTTCCTGTTCCAATGAATTTAGAAAAGGTTCCACATCTAAGTCTGTTCCCTTCTTTATCCACCCACAGAGCTGCAAAGCCAAGTATCTCTCCTCACTCAGATATTGAATAATATCTGCCTGTCTATCAGATCCACTCCTGCTGTGCCTGAGGTTCTCTGTTGTTCCTAGAAATGGGAAATAAGTTAAATTATGCTTAAATCACAATTTACATCGCAATCACAATATGAGGTGTTCATTTCAATCATAATGCAGATTGCAAAAGCTGAGTGTTATTTTTCAGTACTTTAAATTAACAGTGCTTACAACTCCACAGTAAGGAGCAGCATACACAAAATTATTTTGATCTGCTAAAAACAAAAATGCACCTAAACTTGACACACATTCCCCACTAAGATATTTTTGCTTCCTCTACCTCTTGTTACAGTTGACAGGGCTTTTCAGTATGTTCAAAATGAAAATACATAATACACAGTCAAGCACCTGCTCTACCAGTTTTCTTCTTAGCCAGCATCAATGTCCTAGAAGCTTTCCCACCACTGAAGACTTATTTTTTGCTCCAAGGAGCATATATATTAAAAAGACATAATGAATAGAGAAGATTCAAATAATAGATTATACTAACAAAAACTTCAGTGAGCATGAGAGGTAGAATGTGATACACCAGGGGCAATTACCACTTCAGAACAGGACAGCTTATCTAAACACAGTTGTGCAAACGTACTTAATACATCAGCAGTAACTACAGTAAAGTCACATTCCTAAAATTATATCCAGATGTAGAGCTTTAGAAAATAAAATAGTCTTGTGGGGAGTGAGAATTCTCAGTGCCATAGCCAAAACTCACTATGTTTGAAATAGTTCAAAGATTTATCTCTGAGGATATTATGCTTTTATGATTACTGAACACTGAAAATTCTGGAAATTACTGTAATATAAACTGTTAACTGAAATTATTAATACACAAACAGAAATACTTTGTTTTGATATTTTTAAATAGCCTTTTTGGACAATTATTAAAGATAGACCAATGAGTGCATCATTCTGCAAACATACTACAACAGAACTGAGCAAAATTAGAACAATCTTACCCAAAGATGACTTCACAATTGATTTAATGCCAGCATAAACTAAGGGACCTTTGTTTCCTGTAAGTTTTTGATCCATATCTTCAGTATACTGCTTCATAAGTATTTTCATGTATAGGAAGCTTAATTTTTCCCAAGTGTTTGAAAAACTGTTTTTCAAAATTTAAGGTCACATCCTGTTAACATGCAAAGCATTTACAGGACGTTACATTATATTTAAAGATTTTAACACATTTCATATAAGTGGTTTACATGCAAAGGTATATTACTTCTTTAGGACAGAAACTACAGTAAAATAAAGGATATAATGCAGAGTGTACCAAAGCGATTTCAGCTGAGGATCTTCATTTCCAGCTAGGAGGTGATTTCTCCAAACTTGTTCAGTATCAAGACCATACCTTGACAGAGCTCTGAGCCGCATTTTGGTTGCTATGTCTTTTTCCAAGGAACTAGCCTTTCCTTCTTCTGTACACTCATACAAATGTCGTCCACAAGCCCACATTAAGGATGTCACTGGACTCCATGCAAGAGAAATTCTTTCAAAAACTGTGAAGTCAGACATAGTCCTGTTGGGGGTCACTACTACCATTCGATTTTGACTTGTGGGATGCCAGGCAAAGGAAGCAATGTAATTTTCACAAGGTTGGACACTTCTTTCAATTATTGTTGGCTCAGTTTCATCTCCAATAGGGGTGGGAGTATGCTGCATGTCATACAGCCTAATGATATTACTATCCCTTGTCAAAGTAGCTAACAGTCCAGTTCTTGTTGGACACCATGCAACTTTTGTTAAGGGTTTTGGTTGCTCTGTCAAGGTTAAAACAGGCTTTTCAAACTTTCTTAAATCCCATATGGCAACCTGACCTTCATAGAAGGAAGCTACACGATCATGGAAATACGGATCAACAGTCACTCCCTGGACAGCCTTAGTGTTTACAAATATTTTTTGGCTTGTGTTCCTTAGATCGAAGATAGCCAGATTTCGATGCATTCCAGCTAACAGCAGCTTCTGATCCCGTGGAAGCCAACAGAGAGAGAGACAAGCATCATTCTGTCCTAATTCATACAGGGGCTTTGTTACTACCAGTCCTGATTCCGCGTCGCCTGCTGAAAGTCTTACTTTCTCTGTAGCAACTGCAGTCTCTGGGGCATATTTGCTACTGATATCCCAGATCAGCACTGAAAAGTCAGCCCGATGTTTATCTAAGCCAGCAGCCAGCCAATTGCTATCCAGTGGATTCCACGCCAGGGTATTACACTGCCGTGCGTGTTTGGGAACAAACTCTTTGCCTATCAAATCTTTAGATTTTGAGTTGTGATCCTGACCAAGGCTGGTAAGTACCACTCGGCCATTGGCCTGTCCAACAGCAAGGAGACATTCGGGATCGTACTTGGGATACCAGGCCACACATTTCATGTAGGGTGTATCCGAGTTTATGGACAGCAGCGTAGCCGTAGTTTCTTCTGACAGCCGCAAGGACCCTGCCTTGAGTTCTGAACTCATAGCAGAGTCGATGTGATAAAGGCTCAGCTCCGAGTCACACACAACAAATCTGTCAACATGGTGCGGGGCCCACAGAATATCAGGTTTGGAGCCACTCATGGTTGGGGTAAGCTCGTGCACAATCTAAGCTCTGGTAAGAATATTCAGGTGATATCCATGCATGTGAAAACTGTTGAGAAAATGATTTGTAGGAACATTATCAAAACCCAAGTTCTTTTGCAATTTGAGTTCATCACTAAACAAACAAAAATATGAATGACTTTTAGCCCAGAGGTTTAAGACGTAACACATTTCAGGCCAAAACCTTAAGCATTCTCTGCATTACATCATTTTCCTCACAGCACACGTTGCTGGCATGTACCTACTAAGACAGAACCAACACATCCACCTACAAACTGATGACAACAGGATTTGCTGTGTTTACAAACTGCACACCAGAGTTAAGCAAGAAGACATTAACCAAGATGGGATGTGGCACAATTCGTGGGTGGGATGCTGAGAAGGAGCCACTCCCTCAAACATCTAGAAGAGAATTTCTCTCCCTAATTGAAGGGCATTTGCTGACAAAAATTAGAGTCTGTCTGTTTTATCTGAAGCCTGCTCCACAGACTAGAAAGGCTTGCTCTATTTGAAGGTTTCTATAGAAATACAACTTGTCATCTTATTGTATAGCTCCTGATGTCACCTCCTTCCCCAATGTAACCTTATCTTCCTTCGTATCTGGTCCAGCAACATTCAAAAAGGCTTAACATCACTGTTAAACTCCATCTACACTCTCAGTAGCTTCACGGCCAGAATCACTACGCATGCTCACCTACAAACAGATCCCACAAACGTCTTTTATAACTGGGGAAAGGGACATGCTGGACTGGGAAGTATGAAAAGATAGCGGTATTTATTTTCCCCGGGCCTGTCCTCCACACCGCCCGGCTTCTACGAGCTCCGAGGGGCGCAGGGGCCCCTCCGCAGCCCCTTCCCAGCAGGAGCCGGGACGCTGCCACCCTCCTTCTCTCCCTCCTTCCCACCTTCCCGGGCGCGGCAGCTGCTCACCCACCCCGCGGGACCCTTCAGCACCTCCACCGCCGCCGCCGCCGGCGAGAAGCCACGGGGGAGAAGGCGGCGACCCGCCGGCCGCGCCGCCCGAGGGGAAAGCACGGGAAGCACACGCGGGTTTCCGGCTGCAGGGGCGGTGCGGAAGGAAAAGCGCGGCGTTTCCGGCGCGCGCGGCGGCGGGAAACGGGAAGGGGAAAGGGAAGCTCCGCCTGACGCGGGGCGGGGCCGTGACGCACTTCCGTCCCCGGGCCGCGCTCTCCCATTGGCCGCGGGAGCTCCGCCCTCCCCGCGCGCCTCAGAGCCCCGGGGCAGGTCGCCCTGGGAGGGCGCAGAGTGTCCCGAGCTCGGGCTGGTCCGGAGCCGTCAGGGTGCAGTCCTGTGCCATGTGCTCTAGGATGACCCTGCGTGAGCAGGGAGGTTGGACCAGATGGCCCACTGTGGTCCCTTCCAACCTGACCCACCCTGTGATTCTGTGACCTTAAAGATTTCCCATTCCAGCCACCCCCTCCGCCTCCCCATGGGCAGGGACACCTTCCCCTGGACCAGCTGCTCACAGCCCCATCCAACCTGGCCTTGACACTTCCAGGGATGTGGCGTTCGCAGCTTCTATGGGCAACCTGTGCCAGTGTCTCACCACTTTCACAGTGACGAATTTCTTCCCCATATCCAATCTAACCCTACCCTCTGTTTCTGGGGCCCTACTCAAGTAGCCAAAGCATGGGGCTTTGGGACTCCATTTCATCTCCAGGAAACTTGTTCCAGTATTTGATGGAACTCAGTCATAAAGTCTTCTTTACTTATAAACTACCTGGAAGGAAAAAGAATATATATTTCCTTGCTCCTATATTATTAGAATTTCATAACCTGCTTTTCTTCAAGCTGCGGAGATGTGAATTTTAACCTTTTCTCCTTTTGTTTATAATACTCTTCAAACTTGTCCGAAATAAAAATTACAAGCTGAAGTATTAATTGGACAATTTCAAGTTCTCTCTGAATAACTTCCTTCTTCATATAGAAACTAATATTTGGTCTGGAAATATTTAAATGTCACATTTGTATTTATTTATCACTGTTAGAGTCAGGATCTTAGTTCCTTATTTTAGCTGCTTCTCTTATTTCTTTCTTTTCTCAGAAAAGAAAGGGAATGCATACTCTTTGGCTTCCTTATTAAATATTTTCCTATTTTTTCTTTTGAATTACAGTAAATAATTTGTAATGGGGTTACCAGTGTTTTTATAGCTTTTCAAAAATTTTTAAGGAAAATGTATGATAAAGCACTGTCTATCCATCTTTTCAATAACCTCCCTGTGTTCAGTGCCTTCAGTTTAAAAAATGTGGATTGAGTGGCTTTTAATATCGTTTGTGTTAATGTCTGTTTTCTGTTTTTTCTTATCTCTAAACATACTGGAGAACTTGTGTCATCCAAGAAAACTCCCTTTTGTATGTTAAATTTTCATGGCGTTTATTAATTTAAGCCACAAATGTGATATAACGGTACAACAACTAGTTGGCTTAGATTTCATTCTAATATTCCTTCAATTTTAAAAGCATTTTCCCTTATAAAACCAGCCTTTTTTCCCCCCCTTAATAGTGGTAATCTTTAGGTACTCAGCAGTTTTTTTGATAAACAAAAAAGGCCAAACATTGTAGAAAAAAATAAGAGTAGTTCAAATAGAGTAGCCTATCATATATCAAAGGCAAAATTGGAAGCCTGTATTTTCATGCTTATCTTTTTCATTTTTCATCATTCCATTTCCTCTGCTACTGTTGAAGTGGAACATAGTGACTTTTTCACATCTGTTTCAAATAATCACCTGCTGGTTCTTTTTATGACAAAGATGAAATTCAGTTTGTATGTTCCTAACATTTTACCATGGGAAAGTATGCGAGTTTAGTTTATGAATTTAGCTAACATTTGCGATAACCACATCATCTAACTTTGATTTTAAGAGTAAGTTCTTTAGGTGCTAATGAATCAGTAGCTGAAGTATCTGAGATCTCATTTCTTGAGTCCTAATGATGGTCTAAATACACTACTAGCATATACACAAACTACAGAAAGGGTGTTTCCTGTGTCTTTGGCACAAGAGAGATTCAGAGAAATTTAAAAATGAAAAATTGTATTTTGAACCAGTAAATGCTGTTACTCCAATGACAGGTACAAAACAAGTTAGTAGAAACACAAACTATTTAGTGTTTCAGAATGCACAATATTTTTTGTAGGCACGAAATGGCAACACAACAGATACTTCACTGTCTGCACATGAAAACTTTGGTCATCTTTGCTTTAGGATGTCAGTGAAGTAAAAAAATTGCAAAAATTATTCTAAATTGGAATTTTGGGTGTTTTTTTGAGGGGGTTTTATGTGTTTGGCTTTCTTTTAAGGACAACAAGGTGAGCCTGGTCCAAAAAGGAATTGTGGCATTTCAGGAACTGGGCTGCCACGAAGTAATGTGAATCTATTTTAAACAATTACTATTTTAATATTTGCTCACTTTTCTGACAAATATAAGTAATAATTTACCTTAAAACTAATGCAAAACATTTCTCAGGTCAGTATTACATGTGTTCCTAAGTGACACAACAAGACTGTAATTTCAATTCTCTGACAACTCAGAACTGTACTTATTTCAGCAGATTACACTACCTTGCTGGCACACTCACTAATCACTTTTAACTTCCATTGATTTTGTAGTGCTCAAAAGATCTATGTGTCAGGTACTGGTGTTCCCAAACTGGGTATTCAAAAGAGGGGAATGTATGAAACAAGTATTTAGTTTGTCAGGATCAGGTAAGAACTAAGGAGTAAAACCAGTTTGTTCTTCCAGGAGATATCCTCCCTCCTTGAAGCCTTGTACTGTAGTCTTTTAATATCTTAGTCTCTAGCTTTCACCTTCTATTAGAAGGACACAAATGTTTTGCCCAGACAGTAGCCTCATTTACCAGATGTGTACAGATTAAATGCTGAATGAGTCACCCAGTGTGACTATCGTTACGTCATTGTGCATTATCATGTAGATACACCAGAGGGCAGGATTTAGATACCATTAATATCTTTATAGCTTACATATTCAGCAATTAAATGATCCTTTTGATACACTTATTGCAGTCTGATTTTAAAAAGGCATGTAATCATGACTCTGTTTACACAGTGTATGAATAACAATGGCGCTGAATTAAGATCTACCTAGTATTAGGAACAGTGATTTTTAAAAACCTTTTTAAATATTTACTTCAAATTGCATCTGTTGGTGATGTCTCCTAGCCAGAGGAAAAAATCTACCATTCTTTGTAGTAATTATTGTCACTCTTATTGAGTGAAGATCACACTGAGGGAAAAAATATAAATTTAAGGCAGTGAGTTTTGATTGATATCATCAACCAAGCTGATCCATAGTGTAAATCCTTTGACACTTTACATTTATGTACTCTAGAATAGTCACCTACTTTCAAACTTTTATAGATCTGTATCACATGCACATTCAGTTGTGGCTTTTCAAGCAACAGAATCATAATTTACTTTGTCTTCATACACAAGCTATCTTTTTTCGTTGTGAACTCTCTCTTTTTATTTCTTCTTTACTATTTTTGAGTTGCAGTAATGAGAATAGCAGGAAATATTCAAGAAGGGCAGGTATGTACCAGGAAAGAAAGCCAATACATGACTTTTTCCAATAGAAGAAGTGACTTAACATGAATACAGGAACTAAAGGCTTTTAACCTGAAATTCGCTAGCAACATAAAATGAGTTTTACATATAAAACTTCATACTGCAGACCAGAGCTTTAGTATGGTCATGTAATGGGTGCATTTAGACAGATTCAGTAGTCGTGGGAGCTGTAGGTACTGAGCATCTGGTTCAGAGCATCTGGTTCAGGGCAACCATTGGAACACTGATGTACTAAAAAGCTTTGCAAGTATTACTGTTAAAAACAATGCTGTAAATTTGGAATCATAACTTCTGTCAGATTTGATTTCTAAGTGAGTACAAAGCTATGAAAATTTATAAAGACAAGACTAGTGAAAAAAGAAAGATTTGAATTGTAAATCAACAATCTTGTAATGGAATTGTCAAGATTCTTACTGTACTTCCAAAGCACAGTAAGTAGTGAAGAAGAGCTTAAGCTGTGGCCGGAGACCAATTACACACAACATGCAACAGATTTAGAGATTTTCTAGCCAGAGAAATAAAACCAAACTTGACCTCATTGCTATCCAAATACTTGATGCTTGTCAGAACTACCAGGTTATACGTGTATTTGACCAGACAAATTGTTATGTCTAAAAATCACAAATATTAACATTTTCTGATCTCTGCCAGATGAGAGTCATGGATGTTTCCACATCTGGAAATCTATTCACTCGGTTCTGTTTTGGCACATATCAGCAGATAAACCTTGCTGACTGCTGGAAAAAGTATTCTTCCATAGTTGATGATCCGATAGGCTGTCTACAAGTCTTGATCTAAGCATGAAAGAGGGTAAGAATAAGTATGTAGAGAGTATGAGTGATTCATGTGACTAACTTGTTGCTAATGAGATGCTTAATCATCACTATTGTCTCTAATCCAATAGAGGCTGGGTGCTGTCAGTAATTATAACTTAAAGCACTGAGATATTTAGTTAAAAATATTGTATTCCATTGAAACTCTTTAGGCAACGTTTACTTAATGGAGGCAATTAACCTCAATGAAGATGACACGTGTCTGACAGAAGATGATGTAGAGGTTTCTAGGAAGATGTTTTTCAGGAGTGGACTGCAGCTGCTGGGCCAATAAACTGGGGAGAGAGTGTGAGCAGTGGTTGCAGGTATTATGTTTCTCTGTTAGCAGCATGTTCCTTCAGTACATTTCATGTTAACAGACCATGCACAGACTGACAGTTCTGTGTAGGAATGGTACTGTGTACAGTCACATGGCAGAGGTACAGCTCTCACATGCAGCTGTCATGACTAAACCCCAGCCAGCAACTAAACACTGCACAGCCTCTTCTCATTGCCCACCCCCAACAGGATGAGAGTAAGAGAATTGGAAGGGTAAAAGTGAGAAAACACGTATTGAGATAAGAACAGTTTAATAACTGAAAAAAAACCCCAATAATAATGTAATGAAAAGGAAAATAACAAAAAGAGAAAT